CTAAGAAAATATAATGATAGAAGTCTATTATTAAGAATATAAAAACAAAAGTAATTATTTCCTAAAATCAAAATTATTGCAAACAATTTGATTTTTCACATTTTGGCGTAAGTTGTTTGATTTTGTGTAATACACTTTTTTTAAACTAATCCCTTTTTAAAGTAATACTCATAGTTTTTTCTTTTCATATGTAGTGGTAATGTATTGACTAATATAACAAAATGAGACTTGAACTATGCATTTTATAGCTCTTTATTTCATGTCTTTTTTTAATTTAATTAAAAAAAAAAATCAAACTTTTATCTTGAATTTTGTCATAAGGAAAAAAAATTAGTCTATAAAATACAAAAAATGGCAAATTAAACTGTTTTTGTTGAAGTTACAGCTTAAAGCTACTCTGCAACAACATTATACTTATCAATTAATGAAATAACTAAATGCAAATGTCTTTCGTTAAAAACAAATTTAAATTGCACTTTTTACATTTGCATCTTTGCCTAGGCTACTTCAAATTGATCTAGTGACTATCCTGTTCTGTTTTAAAATTATACAGTGATGCTTTAGAGCTGGCCATTTAATATTGTTTTTTTTTCAAAGCCATTATTTTGCTCAAAACTCTTATTTTTGTTATAGCATTTTTTTGCTCTGAAGCTCGATAAACAAGTTGCAAAAGATTTAGATTCGACTGACTCCAAATTTAATAAATGGCAATAAAATCCTGAAATAATACTTTTTGAGCAAAGCTAAAAAAGACTTCTTGCAAGATGCCTGTCAGTAAGGTCAACATTTCCCATATGTTTGTTGTGTTTATTAATTACACTAGGTTACTTGACTTTTACACTTGCAAACCGTGGAAAATTAGTTCAATAGAATTTTTATAAACAAATCATACATATAGCCTATAGAAATTTTACAAAAATCTATAGATATTCTATAGAATTTCTATAGTAGAAATTTCTAAAGACCTTTTTTTTCTTCTTTTATGTTTTAAAAAAAAACGTTTACCAGGAAAAATAGTTCTATAGACTTTTCAATAAATTTTTAAAGCATTTGGCCTATAGAGTTTTTATAATATTTTACAAATTTTTTATTGAATTTTAGTTAATTTCTAGAAAAATTTCTAATCAATTTTTTTTTTCTTTTTTTTTCTTTAAAAAAATTTTTTTATAGCAATTTCTATAAAAATTTATAGATTTTCTATAGAAAAACATAGGAATTGTATAAAATTTCTATGGGCTTTATGTATAAAATTTAATAGATAACAGTTGGGCTGAAAAGTTCGTATCGTTTAATAGGAAAACACATTTTTTTTTCAAAATTCGGTTTTATTATTCAACATAGCTTTCATCAGAGGCGATACAGCGATTATAGCGATCTTCCAACTTTTCGATACCATTTTTTTAGTACGATTTGTCCTTTGCTTCGAAATAGGCTTCAGTTTCAGCGATCACCTCTTCATTGCTCTTAAATTTTTTACCAGCGAGCATTCTCTTGAGATCTGAGAACAAGAAAAAGTCATTGGGGGCTAAATCTGGAGAAAACGGTGGATGAGGAAACAATTCGAAGCCCAATTTGTTCAATTTAAGCATCGTATTCATTGACTTGTGACACGGTGCGTTGTCTTGATGAAACAGAACTTTTTTCTTTTTCAAATGAGGTCGTTTTTTTGCAATTTCATCCGTCAAACGCTCCAATAACGCAATGTAATAGTCGCTATTGATGGTTTTTTCCTTCTCAAGGTAATCGATGAAAATTATACCATGCGTATCCCAAAAAACAAAGGCCATAACCTTCCCAGCCGATTGTTGAGTCTTTCCACGCTTTGGAGTCGGTTCATCGCGTGCAGTCCACTCAGCTGACTGTCGATTGGACTCCGGAGTGTGGTGATGAAGCCATGTTTCATCCATTGTTATGTATCGACAAAAAAAATCGATTCAATTTCAACAATGTAACAGCTTCAAACACTGCTCAGAATCATCAATTTGTTGTTGCTTTTGATCGATTGTGAGTTCACACGGCACCCATTTTGCACAGAGCTTTCTCATATCCAAATATTCATGAATAATATGTCCAACGCGTTCCTTTGATATCTTTAAGGTGTCAGCTCCAACAACTTCACTTTACGATCATTCAAAATTATTTTGTGGATTTTTTTCACATTTTCATCGGTAACAGCCTTTTTTCGGCGTCCACTGCGTTCATCGTCTTCGGTGCTCATATGACCAGTACGGAATTTTGCAAACCACTTACGAATTGTTGCTTCGCCTGGTGCAGAGTCTGGATAATACTCATCAAGCCATTTTTTGTTATCGGCAGCACTTTTTTTTATTAAAAAGTAATATTTCATCAACACACGAAATTCTTTTTTTTCCTTTTTTTTCACAATGACAAAAGTAGCGTCACTACTAGAGCAATATATCACAAACTAATAATCTGACAGCTGTCAAATTTTTACACGTATCTTTTCAAGGTTGATACTAACTAAAAATGGTATGAATTTAATTCTAGTGGCGCCATTTCTTAGAAACGATACAAACTTTTCAGCCCAACTGTTATTCTATAGAATTTCTTTCCCTTGTTCTGTACAGATTTTTTTAGATGTATATATATAGCCATTCTGTTAAAATTCTAAACAATTTCTATAAGCCATATGTTTCTCTTGAAAAAAATGATCTATAGAAATTTCTATTAACTTTAGAAACATAAGGCCTATAGAAACTCTATAAAATTTTTATACAATTAATTTCTATAGAAACTGCCATAAAACAATTAATTTCTATAGAAACTGCCATAAAACATTTTTGACAATAAAAAAAAAGTAGAGAAAAAAATTTTATTAGATTTTTTTTTGAAGTTAACAGAAACTCTATAGAAATTTTATAGAAATTCTATGGAATTTTTAAATGCCATATGTTTCAAAAGTTTATATAGAGTTCTATAGAACTTACTTTTCTGGGTCAAAAGTTTATAAAAGTTCTTTAGAAGAATTTTTCCTGAGTTGACTTTTTCTGATATTTTGACACTTTTGTTTTGGGCAATTCACCTATTTACGCTAATAACACGGTTACAATTTTGTTTTCTGCCCATGATAAGTAACTAACATAAATAGCGTCAATGTTTGAAATAATTGCTTTTTAAAAGATTTTTCATTTTTCATTCTTTCATATATTTGCATTTGTTAAATCTGTTTTTTCTAATAGCGCTTAACATAAAACTTTCTATTCACCATGCTATCACATGTGTAGTCTCAATCACCATTTTTTAGTGACACACCTCACCACATATTTTACTTTATTATTTTTTTTTTTTTATTATTATTATTTTTTTTAATTTATATTTTATTTTAAACTTATAATTTGTTCATATTTGTTTTATATTAGTAAGTTTATGTACTTTATTTTGTGTTTGTCTGATATGTTCTCGTACCTTTGTGGATTCTGCGCCTCCTACGGTGCTTTTAATTTTTTACATAATTTATAACTTTTGAATGCATCTATTCATTTTAATACAACTATACATTTTATAACACACATTTCTTTACAAATGTATTTAGTGACATAACACAGGTTACTTTTATATTCAAATTATTAAGGGTTACAATAAGGCTTGTTATTTCTAAATTCCTATATAGCGGGCTGAGTCTCTACTCACCTAATGACGGTTGTACATATAGCTATAGAGACACTGTACTAATGAACCACCCATTGCTTACCACCTACAACGCTAAATGACTTTCTCCATAACTTTCTAGAAAAAGGAATCAATCTTCACACCATCTGATGAACAACGGAATTTCACACTGAATACAATGAAAGATTTGTTCGATATGCGTAACATCCGAGGATAGTTTCAAATCAAGATAAAGGTGGAAAAAACAAGAGCCACCGCAGAAATAATTAATCAAATGATTACAAACAAATCGGTCTACGACCTCACTGAAGCGGAGAGGCAAATATTAGGCAGAGGGTTGGGATTTATTCAAAACGACCAATACGTTCCGGAAATCACAATTAAAAAGGAATATGCTACTTAGAGTTCATTTTAAGGACAATGTAGGACCACCCCTACGAATACCAATAAAAAGGAGACTCGACACGATTTGGAACCCTCCTGCATCCAACAATGCAAATTTAAATCTTTTCTTCGAAGGAATTAAGAGTGAAACAGACACGGTGCTAAATGAGAGAATAAAGATAGCACACACCAACCTAACAAAAAATATGAAAAAAACCAATCACACCACAAAAAATTAATAACAATATCATCATTAAGCAAGCTGACAAAGGTGTTAGCAACTGCAACTTAAACAGGTGAGATTATGAAGAGAAAATTAATACCATGTTAACAGATGATACCAAATATAAACTCCTACAATACGACCCCACCATAGAAATGGCACGGAACGTTGTATCAACAATTGATAACATCTTATTCAAAGGAGTAATTGACAAAAAGACTGTAAATTACATACGTCTAAACAATCATTGTCGCCCTCCCCTGTTCTATGGACTCCCCAAAATACACAAAACTGGAATTCCTCTCCGACCTATTGTATCTGCTTGCAATTGTCCCATAGACCACCTCTCATACTTTGTGACTAAGTTCGTACAACCACTAGCCGAAACACTTCCATCATATTTTAGAGACTCCACACAATTTCTTCACATGCTCCAAAATCAACCACTACCGCCTCAAAAATACATCTTCGTCACCGCTGACGTTACCTCCCTGTACACTAACATACCCCATAACAACGGTATAGAAGCCACCAAACTACTTTTTAATAACACACCACATGACCCAAGACCACCCAATTCAACACCTGTAGCATATATACAGAATATGATTGACACCATTCTCACAAACACGACGTTTCAGTTTGATGACCGCAATTATTTTCAAATGACAGGGACATCGATGGGTACACGCATGGCACCACCATACGCTAACACATTTATGCGCACATTAGACAAAGCCATCACTTGACAATTTAAAGGCAG